AACTCTATATCAAAAAACGAAGCAAGGGGCTGAAGTTGTAGCTCAGTGATGGAGTCCTTGCTTGGTATGTGTGAGACACTGGGTTTGATCCTTGGCACTCCATTAAAAAGTAAATAAATAAAATAAAGGTATTGTGTTCATCTACAACCAAAAAATGTATACAAAACTAAAAAGAAAAAATTAAAAATAAAATAAGCCCAATTCCATAAAACCAAAAACCAAAAACCAAACATTTTCTCTAATATGTGAATGCTAATACAGAATTGCGGGTTGTGGGGGGGATAGGAGTTCACTGGATTAGATTAGACAAAGGGGAATGAAGAAAGGAGGGAGGTTGAGAATTGGAAATACAGTAGAATGAATCAGACAACTTTCCTATGTTCATATATGAATACATGACCAGTATCAGTCAACATGGTGTAAGACCACAAGAATGGGAAGTTACATTCTACATGTATAATATGTCAAATACATTTTACTGTCAACTACAAAGGACAAGTAAAAATTGAAAAAAAAATAGAAATGGAAATATCATTACAGACACTGTTGAAGTACAGAAGATAATCAGAAACTATTTTGAAAATATGTACTCCAATCAACTAGAACATCTGGAAGATAGTGAAATTCCTGGAGACATATGATCTAACCAGATTGAACCAGGAAGATATAGAAAATTTAGACAGCTCAATTTAAAGCAATGAAATTAGAGAAGTGATCAAAAACCCACCAAGAAAGAAAAGTCCAGGACTGGGTAGGTTCTCAACCAAGTTATACCAGGTCTTTAAAGAAGATCTAATACCAATCCTCCTCAAATTATTCCATGAAATAGGAAAGGAGGGCCCTCTTCCAAATATATTCTATGAAGCTAATATTATCCCGATACCAAAACCAGACAAAGATACATCAAGGAAAAAAAAATTAAGACCAATATTTCACCCAAGAGTGCACCTCATGATCAAGTGGGTCATCCCAGAGATTCAAGATTGGCTCAACATATAGAAATCAATAAATGTGAAAATTGCATAAATACGCTCAAAGAACCACATTTATCTCAATAAATGCAAAAAAAAATTAAAAAGTCATTTAATGAACTATAGCATCCATTCATGTTTTGAAAATTGAAAAAACTAGGAATAGAAGGAACATATCAACATTGTGAAAGCTATATACAACAAACTGAAGGCCAATATGATTCTTAATGGAGAAAAACTCAAATCATTCCCTCCAGAAAACTGGAACAAGAAAGAAATGCCCTCTTTCACCACTTCCATTTAAAAGTCCTTCAAAGTCTAGTAAGAGTAATTAGGAGAAAGAAATTGAAAGGATACAAATAGGAAAAGAAAAGTTCAAACTATGTCTGTTTGATCCTATATTTAGAAGACTCAAAAAACAACAACAGAACTCCACGAGAAAATGTCTTAGACACTTCTCAGAAGAATAAATACAAATGATCAACAAATATGTTTTAAAATGTTCAACATCTCTAGCAATTAGAGAGATTAAAATTAAAACTACACTATTTCATGTCAGTCCACTCAGAATGGCAATTATCAAGAATATAAGTAACAATAAGTGATGGTAAGGACTTGGGGAAAAGAGCACACTCATATATTGTTAATGGGACTGTAAATTGGTGTAACCACTATGGAAAGCACTCTGGGAAGCAGTATAAAGATTCCTCAAAAAAACGAGGATTGGATGTACCCTTTGACCCAGTTATCCCACTCCTCAGAATATATCCAAAGGACTTAAAAATATTAAAAATTATAGTGATGCAGCCACATCAATGTTTATAGCAGTATAATTCACAGTAGTTAAGCTATGAAGCCAACCTTAGTGCCCTTCACAGCTGAATGGAAAAATAAATTGTGGTATATATACACAGTGGGATATTACTCAGTCATAAAAAAAGAATGACTTTGTGACATTTGCTGGAAAATGGAGAGACCTAGACACTATAATTCAAAATGAAATAAGACAATTTGAAAAAACTAAAGTCAATTTTTTTTCTAATATGTGGAAGCTAAACCACAATAATGGGAGAGGAGTGGAAGAATAGAAGTTCAGTGGATTAAAGAAAAGGAAACAAAGGAAAGGGAAAAGGATATGTAATGAAAGACAGTAGAATGAATCTAACATATTGTTCCTTTGTACATATATGAAAATACCTAAGTGAATCCTATCATCAAGTATATCCATGAGAATGGGGTCCTAATTAGAATAAGATATATTGCATGCTCATATAATTATATCATAATGAATTCTACTGTGAAGCATAACTAAAAAGAACTAATAAAAAACATGAACAATCTGTTGATATAAGTAAATGACATATGAAAATTCTTTGTACTAATATTTTAACTTTTCTAGAGTTGTAAAAAGTGTGTCAAAATTAAAAGTTTTCAAAAAATTTTAGAAAAGTATGATGCTATGACGTATCTTAAGATGACAGCTAACTTGTTAGCTGGTCTGAAAGGAGGAGTTCATCAGAAGCAAGTCATTTAATGTCTAGTTGACTAGCTTTTGAGTTACATTCTTCAAAGAGCTGAGCCTCTAGAGAGCTTTGAGAATTTAGGAAGTTAGAATCAGCTTCCAGGCTCTAGGAATAAAGGAAATAAGCCAAAAATGGATGGAAAAAAAATAAGCCAGTAATGCCAGTAAATGGATGGAGCTAGAGAATATTATGATAAGCTACAATTCTCAGGAGGGTAGTGATGTGGCAAAAACACACACTCTTGACAGATTTCAGCTTAACATGTTCTTAACCTTTCCAAGTCTTATTCTGAATTAGTGTTTTAGTTGGCTTTTTCTTGCTGTGACCAAAAGACCTGAGAACAACAATTTTAAAGAAGGAAAAGTTTATTTGGGGGCTCACAGTTTTAGAGGTTTCAGTCCCCAGAGGTCCAACTCCATTGCTCTGGATTTGAGGTAATATTATGAATATTATGGTTTCACTGACTATCAAATGATCATCAGCAAAAAACTGCTCTATTCTTTCAATCCCATATGCAGTGATGGGATTCCTTCTTAGCACCAAATTTTATAATTTGAGATCTGCTTGCCAATTCCCCTGAAACACTATAAAATTTCTTAGAATAAATAATTTATTATTATTGTTGTTGTCATTATTATCACTTTCATTGTTTTCCCTTGTCTTTGTATTCTGAGTTATGTATTATCGTAAATGGTCTATGATAGCAAAAATCTAATTTTATAATTAGAAAACAATTATATCAAGTCACAGTTCATAAGTTAAGTAAACTTGAAAGTAATCTAAATGTTAAAAACACCAAGGAAACCTTTCCTAGGCCATGATTTAGAGAGTCCTAAGTAGACAGTAGTAGTGTTTTTTTGTTTTGTTTTGTTTTATTCTCCTGTTCAAAGCAAAACTTGAAAATCAAATGGATTCCTACTATGGAGCTGATAGTTGTTTTCACCAAAATTCATTTGTTGAAACCCCCAAGTCATCAATGTGATAGACACCTGTGGATGGGGACGTTAGGAAATCAGCCATGAGATTGAGTTCTCACTTAAGGATTGGTGTCCTAAATGTTGGGAAGGATGTGGGGAAGAAGGTACACTCATACATTGCTGGTGGGACTGAAAATTGGTGGAACCATTATGGAGAGTGCTGGGGATGTCTCAGAAAATTGGGAATGGAACCACCATTTGACCTAGCTATCCCATTCCTCGGTCTATACCCAAAGGACTTAAAATCAGCATACTGCAGTGACACAGCCTCATCAATGTTTATAGCAGCTCAATTCACAATAGCTAAACTGTGGAACCAACTTAGATGCCTTTCAACAGATGAATGGATAAAGAAACTATAGTATATATGAACAGTGGAACATTAATCAGTCTTATAGAAGAATGAAATTGTAGAATTTGCCAGTAAATGGATGGAGCTGCAGAACATTATGATAAGCAAGATAAGCGAATCTCAAAGAAACAAGGCCAAATATTTTCTCTGATATATGGATACTAATTCAAAATAAGGGGTGGGGGAGAATAGATGTATTTTGGACTAGACAGAGGGGCGTGAAAGGAGGCAAGGGGCATGGGAGTAGGAATAATAGGAGAATGTGTCAGACATTATTACCTTATGTGTATATATGATTACATGACCTGTGTAACTCTACATCATGTACAAAACCAAACAAATGAGAAGTTATACTCTATGTATGATGTAAAAAATGCATTCCATTGTCATGTATAATTAATTAGAACAAATAAAAATATATTTAAAAAAAAAGAAAGGAGACTTGGCAGAATTTGCTGTCTTTCCCTCTCTTTCTATGATGGGAGGACTTATGAAGACACCATGGGCAAATAAGGATGATACACTCAACAGACACTGAATCTGCAGGAGCTTTGCATGATCTTGGACTTCCTAGCCTCACAAACTGGGAAAAATAATGTTTCTTGTTTAATCCACCAGGTAATGGTAATTTAGTATAGCAACCTAAACTGAATAAGACAAATTTCATTATGAAAATAATGGGAAAATGTGCCCATTTTAATATATATACACACATTTTATTTTCTGTTTCCTAATTAAATATACATGGTACAAAATAATTAAATTTTGTAACAACTTGTTACATAACAAATCTGTGAAATATTAAAAAATATTGTATAACACTTATAATTACATGTTTCACTTAATTTAAAAATCACATTTTAATTATAGTTTAGTTTTACACATATATATTTAATATTATGTGTACAGATCGACCTTCTGCTTATCAACTATCCAAACTATTCAACATAGAATTATCCAAATCCTATTAAAAATTTTAAATAATTGAATACAAACTACATTAATATAAAAAATTTAGCATTACTTTTGATGTACACTGTGCAACAATTTTTAGGAAAGTGTTATGAAAATTATATTTTACAGAATGTAAGAGTTAATGAGAAGGGACACTTGTAAGTGCCATGAAACTTAAATCCAGTATTAATTTCTCCTTGAGAACTTGAATTGGTGGCACTCTTCATGACCAGCTGATTTCAAATGGTTCATCAAGAGTAACATTTTTGTCTTTAAGGTCAATATTTAATATCTGAAAAAAAAGTAAAATTGAAATTATTTAATTAAAATCACATTTTTGTTCTTTTTCAAACAAAGATGATTTTATTTAGCATGAAACAGGATACACTTTTTATTTTTTGCTAAACTTTTATTTCACAGTTGGAAACCATCTCAGCTACCCATGTTATAGATAATGGAAATGAATTACCTGAGGCAGAATGTCAAAGACATAAAAAGCCAAAACTACTAGGCAATCACCTTGATATCTATTTTTTGACACAACACCTAAATTTGGAGGAATTCATAATTGCACTACATAAACTGCTACACTTCCAATCCTCAAATGTTATAAAGGCATCTATCCTTTATGGCCAATTGTCAATTTTTTAAGTATCACCTTCTTTACTGGAGATAAATTTAGCTAGACTCTACAGTGACTAACCATAAAAATAATCTAAGCAACTATGGTCAAATAATCATGTTATATTTTTATTGCTTTTTCTCTAATATATGCTTACATGATTCTCTGTGTCTTAGCTCTAAAAGTTTGTATTCAACCAATAGGCAAGTGAAGGAGAATATCAACATTCTCTGCTGCCTATCACACATCAAGTACTCAATTAAGGGCTTTAAAAAATTTATTCTTCACTTAGGCATAGCAAATCTGGGTCAGTTTACCATAGTAGTAGAAGCATTTAAATGGGAAAAAATACTTATCTTAATATCTATTAGTCAGTTTTAAAATTGATCTATTGTAACCAAAAAACCCTAAGCTAGTTCTTTAGTAGTACTTTATCACTTTTACTCAAGAGATACATATCATTAGAATTTCCATTGTATAACAGAGGAAAGTTAGTATCAAAACTATTAAATAAATTGCAAAAGTAAAATGACTAATTACTGTCAAGATCTATAACCAGAAAAACAATAGCTCACACAAAATCAGCTAGACATATTTGTTTCTAGGAAAATGTTTTAAAAATTGTATTGATATTGCAGTTAAATCATCCTTTGCATAAAGTTGCCACACCTATGCAGAAGGGCAACATGAGTGTAGAAAGAAATGGACTGTCTTTCTGTAAGTTCTTTGATTAACATCTGGACAGCGATCTTAAGTGACAATGCCATTAAAAAAAAAAAAATTTACTTTCCTGCCCAAGGGCATTTCTGAAAAAGGCTCACCATTCCCTCATACCTAACCCACCCTTAACCACTCTAATCCCTGAGTCTGCCCTATAAAATCCAGAACCCCAAGCCTCTTTTGCCTCTATCCATCTATGGAGAGATGCCCTTTATTTGTCAGCTCTGACAAATAAACTCTCATATATATCTCTGCCTGGTCTTCCTCTTTCATTTCTTGCTCTCCAATCTCCCTGTTCCTCGCTTCCCTTTCATTTTCTTCTATAAGTTTCCTACATTAATGCTTGAAAAACTGTGTCCAAAAATTTTTTGCCTTTGAATGCACTTGTAAGCAACTCTTCATTTTGTTAAAATGAATATCTTCATTTCAAATGGTTCATCAAGAGTAACATTTTTGAAACCATTAGTGTAATGAAACATCAAAAAATTTCTTCATAGTATTTAAAATTCTCCATAAATATGTTTGGAAGCAGTGAAATATCAACCTTTTTAAAATGATCTCTTTTTTTCTGCCACATTTGTTCAAAACAAAATAATACCCAACACATTAAATATAATTTGACATCTTCATTTGACATTATTTGCTTCATTTGAATAAAAGTTATGGGACAAGTGTTAAATTTCAAGTGGAAAAAAAAATTTGGTAGCCGCTGTTTAAATCTAATATCCTATGAAATTTACAAAAATCTGAGACAGCCCAAGATATAGTCTTTTTTAAATTTAATTTGAAATCAGCAAACTGGCTATTCTGTAAGTTCCAAGTGAATAATGGCTAAGTGGTTTAAACAAGTTTGTTTAAATACTATGTAGTCACACATAGTTTTAGCAGTGCAGATCTGACCTTAAACTTGATCAAAACCTTAACTATTTTGTAGAATATATATTGTTTGAAGTATACCTTAACAATTCACAGATTCACAGAATTTAGAATTGGAAGGAGTTTAGCAGACTGTTTACCTGTTTATTTTTATTTAATTGGAAAGAAAGAGAGGACCCAAAATCAATTTTTCAAAATAAAAAATCAAATTAATGGTAGCAATGTTACTTTAACATAGGAATCCTGACTCCTTGTTTAATGTCTGTATCCTCACTCAGACCTGTATTCATGAGTAAGAGTAGGTAGCTCTATTAATTTTGAAATTTTTTCAAAGACATTTTAATCTGACACACACAATGTCCAAATTAACATATTTTATTTAAAAAATACTGAAATAGCAATATGCATATCTAATGTAAATTAATTTTGCTATGCCAGAACAATTATTAAAAAGATACTATTTTGATTGATACCTGTGAAATGTTTCTAAGGGTAATACAGAAATAAAATGGGAAGTTTAATTACTGTGAGTATTTGAGAAATGTCACAGTTGACTCATAATTATGTTTCTTTAGGCATGAGAAATATAAGAAGTTCATATTCATATTTTGAATGTCTGCATTTTCTAACTCACTTACCTCTTTTTCTAGGTTTTCAAATCTAAGTGGTACTGTGTTTCCATTATATATCAAGTTGACTCCAGTGACAGGAACATTTCCTTTCCCCCATACATGGACAGATCCAAGCCTCATTTCACTTTTATTTATGTAACCATTTTTCAGTACAGTGCTTGTCAAAGTTTTCTACAAAGGTAAAGGAAAATTTTAAGCCCTTCATTTGCAAGAGCAATTAAATTGACAAAATGTATATTATAGTATATAAAATTATTGGTATATTTAAAGTAAGTGTTTTATCTAATAAACATGGAATGAAACTTCACACATTCTTTAACACAATTGTACATAAATAATTTTAAATACCTCTTTTAAATTAAATTGTACCAAGAAGTATAGGTCTCTTTCATAGGTGTCTGTAGAGAGAGAAAAAAAGTAATATATTTTTATTTTCAAAGAACAGTAGTAAACTCTTAGTATAACTAATTTCCCTTCCTGTTAAAAATGTTATAATGTTGTATTCCTGCATTTCTAATGAAAGTCAAACTGACAAAACATAAGATTTTTAGTTCATCTGGTATCTATTTTATAATAATTTTAGAGCTAACACTTATTAAACATTCTCATTTTGAAACTCTAAGCACTTTATCACTGCTACTTTAGAGATATATATTACTTGATTTTCCATTGTATAATAGAGGAAAGTCAGTGCTAAAATAGTTAAATAAATTGCAAAATTGAAATGATTAAATATAGCCAACATCTGTAATCAGGATAAATTTACTCTGACTTCTCTGACTGTGCATATATGTAAAAAACAAAGAAGCATACAGAAGATGGAAAGTACATCAAATGCCTGATTAAAATACATATTGAGATAACATGGAAAAAGCAATATATTTTAATTCCCCTCTCTACTTACATATGTCAGCATCATATTCCTTAATTTAATGAAAAATTAATAGACTAGTTTTCCTGTAAGAAAATTGATATTCAGTCTCAAACTTTCTTCTCTGAATATAAACTAACATATGCATAACTAATTTAATATGAATTGTGAGTATATTAGTGCCAATATGCCTTAAGTATTTTAGTCTTAACTTTTCAATTTACAATTTTAGCAGAAGTTTTAACAGAATGTTTTACTCATAGAATTAGATTAAATAAAGCACAGTGACAAGTACTAGGAAAATATGAAAAGTTTTGTTGAATAGGAAGAAGTTAACATCTCTGATCATAGTCAAAGGCACCAATATATCTAGATGCTTCATTAACATCCATAAGGCAAATAAAGATTAAATATTATAATGTTAGAAAGGTTAAGACGTACTTTATGTTTGCAAGTTTTAGGATGTGTTAATTTTTATCTATCTTCAATTTACTTTGAGAGAACTGTTCTGCAAATTATATCACAAAATTTGAATGTATTTGTCTAAAAGAAAGAATAACATCAGATGGGAATATCAATTTAGATTGGTGTCCTCCATGTAGAAGATAAATTTAGAGATTCCAATCTAATAAATTCAGAAATGAAGTATTTTTTGCATACTATATTTGGTGTCTAGTCAAGAAATTCCAGGGGATTATTTGAAAAACCTAATTATTTTATATGTTGTGATTACAAAAATTGTCCAGAACAATTTTTGTTCTTGAATAAAGAGATCATAAATATATAATCTGAATCATATTAGTAATTTCCAGCAATTAAAGATAAGTCTGCCATGAAAACTGAATAGGGCACAAGGCATACTAAGTTTTCACTTACAACTTAGTGCAGTAGGAAAAGCTGGGGAAAAACAATTATACATATATCAACTTAACACCCCTGGAAAATTATTGGTAAATTCAAAGTACATACTGCTGGAAGATAAGGGAAAGAAAGGCTGTGAACTTAGTAGAACATCAGTTAAAATAGTATTGAAAGTCAAGGTTCTAAACCAAAGGGTTTTATCTCATAGTGGTTTACTGGTTCGCCTTCTAAACCAGAAAATGAAGAGGACTTTAGGCCAATTTTATGATTGTTCACTTGTATATGATTATTTCTCTTTTACTTTTCACTTTTTTGTTTTAATTAGTTACACATGATAGTACAATGATCTTGACATATCATACATTTGAATCAGATGGGGTATAATTTCTCATTTCACTTTTTAATACTAGGGATTGAACCTAGAAGTGATTTACCAGTGAGCTCCATATCCAGACCATTTTATTTTTTATTTTGAGACATGGTTTCACTAAGTTGCATTAGGGCTCATTGAATTGCAAAGGCTGGCTTCAAACTTTCAATCTTCCTTCCTCATCTTCCCAAGTTACTGAGCTACATGTATGCACCACTCTTCTCTGTGCTAACATAGAATTCTTATGTCAAGTTTCTCACATGCTTTATATTTACTAATAGATTCTTATCTTTTTTGGTTTTAGAATATTTATTTGATTAAAAGATGATACATATCTTTGCTATTAATGAAAATTTATCATCTGTGGACAGTTAATTTAAATGGTAGTATATGAAAACTACAACTTCACATTGGTGACAGTTTTTATGACTAAAGTTTGTGTCAATAAAATGTTTAGAACTCCATCTGAGAGAACTGGTACTATTAATGGCGATTATATTTTATCTACAGAATAAGAATCTCCTGAGGGAATTTTGCTCAAAGGCAGAAGATTCCTCATTTTCTCCTCAAACTAGTGGAATTTGGATGGGCCCCAGAAGACTCCTTTTTTTGTTTGTTTGTTTGTATCATGGTACTAAAGATTGAACCCAGAGGTGCTCCACTGTTCTTCATCTCCAGACTTTTTTTTTTTTTTTTTTGGTGGGGTACTGGGCATTGAACTTTGGGCATTCAACATCTGAGCCACATCCCCAGCCCTATTTTATATTTTAGTTAGAAACAGATGTCACTGAGTTGCTTAGAGCCTCGCCATTGCCAAGGCTGGCTTTGAATTCGTGATCCTCCTGCCTCAACCTCCCAAACTGCTGGGATTACAGGCGTTTTTGCTTTTTATTTTGTAACAGGTTTTCACTAAGTTGATAATGCTTTCCTCAAACTTTTGGGCCTCCAGAGTCCCTGGGATGACATACTTAGTATCTATGTATTTTAATATATACTCAGTATCTATTTTGTGAATGGCACTGTATTAGCTTCTGCCATAGGTAATACACACTATACAAATCTCTTCACTAGTCAGATATTTAATTTAGGTATTAAACAAATTTAAAACAAGAAAGGG